AGGAGTAGTGTTAACGCGGAAGAGTGGAGGGAAAGAGACAGCGAGAAAGGCATACGAGAGGTGGCAGCGAGAAGAGGAGGCAGAGGCAGCCTTGCAAAAAGAGCACGGGAATGCACGGGAGAGACCTTTGAACGAGAAAGCCCGTGCAGACCCGGGTCGAAAGCAACACTGTCCAGAGAGCAAGCTCATGGAGTCAAGCCCATATGCTTGTTGACTGAGCCAGTAATCATCAAGCAGCCACTGAGCAGGTCCAATATGCCGTTAGTGGTGGGATATGTTGCGAAGAAATGCGAGCTGCTGTTGATGCTGGCTGGAGCGACAGGGTGAGCATGAAGCAAAAAGTGCTGCAACTGACACTGACAAGACATGAGCAGGAGAGCCACAGCAAATGCATGCCACGTGACCTTCGTGGCGCACAGACATCGTAACAGAAGGATTGGCCCCGACGCAACATGCATTGGTCATCAATGGTCGCACCCTCGTTCGCTCGTTGTGTTGGAAGTGATTCGTGCAACGAGGTTTCCTGGTGTCTGGGCCCTGGGCGAGGGAAACTTCTACGAGTTCACCCATTCAGACAGGCAGGGACGCAGTCCACGCCTGTCTGAATCCGTTCGGCGCGGTCGTTCGAACAGTTTTTTGCTTGAAGTCATGGCACGCTGGTCTTCAGGAGTTTGCAAACACTGCCGTATATCATCTTTCGAGCTGCGTCATAAACGAGTTCTGTAGCCCAGCATGGCGCCCCCAGGCCTAGCACTCTCTTTGGGGCGGGGGTTTCTTGTGGAAAGGTGTGGACCCCGGGCGGCGGCACCAAGGGCTCTTGCCCGATGAGCACCCCCTTCCCCCCCTCCCCTGTGCTAGGGCGACAGTGCCCTCTAGTATTCTGGCTCAACTGTTGTTGCAACTGATCCGGCGATGCCGACGTCTCCACCCATCATGAGCCTGAGGACATTCAGTGTATATGTGAGGTATTCCACGCTCATCATATGCATTAGCAACTCCCTGGATTGCTGCCTTTGTTGTCGGCCTTGTTCCAGGGCTGCGCCTCTGTGCTGTGCATTGCCGCGGTGGTGTGCATGTTCATTTACTGTACCTGATTGGTGGCGTGCTCGCCTTCGGTGCTGGAACACTGTCCCCTCGGCACATGGCGCACGCCTTTGGGTCGCCTTGTGTGTGCCCTCTGTGCATGGAGCCTCGCTCCCTCGGCACTGGCCGCACGGTTCGCCCCCTTTCAACTCTTTGCGTCTGCTGCCGATTACTTGGTGTGTTCTTTGGTGCATACAAGCATAAGTATTATCGGTTGGTGACGTCTGGCTTGGCCTCCTGCCTGCTTTATCCCTGATCAAGGACTATGCCTCTCCGATTCTTGGGTTTGAAACATGTATCTTAGTATTCTACACCGTGACCTGTCTGCACTAGCTAGTTTTTCCCCCACTTGATCTCTGGGACGGAGGGAGGAGATGACGCTTGCGGAGCCACCCTGAGATGTTGAGAGGGACGTGGGAGGTAGGCCGCACCGTAAGTGCTGGTCGACACTCACTCACTCACTCACTCACTCACGATTAGCATGGTGGTGGTGGTGGCGGCGGCGGCGGCAGTGGCTGTAGTAGCAGTTGTTGTAGCAGCAGCAGTAGCAGCAGTGCAGCAGTAGCAGTAATAGCAGCAGTAGCATCAGTAGCAGCTAGTAGCGGGTGGTAGTAGGTGGTAGTACGTAGTAGTAGGTGTAGGAGGAAGCAGTGGGTAGTAGTAGGCAGCACAAGGTAGCATCAGGTAGTTTCAGGTAGCGGCAGGTAGTAGTAGGTGGTAGTCGTCGTCGTAGTCGTAGTAGTAGCAGCAGTAGTAGCAGTAGTCGTAGTAGTCGTAGTAGTGGTAGTAGTAGTTGTAGAAGAAGAAGTAGTAGTAGTCGTGGTAGTAGTAGTAGTAGTAGTAGTAAGTAGTAATAAGTAGTAGTAAGGAGTAGTAAGAGTCGTAGTAGCAGTAGCAGTAGCAGTAGCAGTAGCAGTAGCAGTAGCAGTAGCAGTAGTAGTAGTAGTAGTAGTAGTAGTAGTAGCAGTCGCAGCAGTAGCAGCAGCAGCACTAGCAGTAGTAGTCGTAGCAGGAGTGGTAGTCGTAGTTGTAGTCGGCGTCGTAGTGGTGGGCGTAGTCGTAATCGTCGTCGTAGTAGTAGTGCCAGTAGTGGTAGCGTGGAATTTCAGTCATAGTAGTAGTAGTAGTTGTTGTTGTTGCTGCTGCTGCTGCTGTCGTTGTTGCTTACTGCTGTTTTTGCTGCCACTGCTGCCGTGGCACGCTCACCAGCCCAACACACCCCAAAACCCGAACAGTCGCAAAAGCAGGCCTGCAGTGCTCGTGGCACTTGGCCCAGAGGCAGCTGAAGTTTGCCACGGCATATGTCGGTTTGATTGTGCATGTCTGGAAGCCAGGGACTTTGCCAAGTGGTCGATCATGATTTGCGGAAAGCCGATGAGCAAGTTTGGGCCGGTAATCCGAACCTGAACTTTTCAAGTCGTTTAGGAACTAGTCGAGGAAGGTCTATTCCTTTCGGAGCAGGATCTAGGACCGCAGAGCCAGTATGATCGCCTGACGTTGGCGAGGTAGGTGAGGACCTGGAGCAGGAGATCCGAGGCACACGAGCTTCGAAGGAGTTCTTTGGGGGGGAGGGACTGCAATGGAAGCATCAAGGGATTTCGGGCCGTTCCCGTGTGAATCACCAACAGATCCAGCAGTTACCAACAGTTTGCTAGGTACCCGTCACAGTTCGCTGGGTCGAATTGGAGCTTTCCCCATTGCTCCAGATTGTTGTTGACCTGTACATAGGGTTCTTGCCATTGCAGTCGTGGAAGGTGCACAGCGGGAGTTCGCGCAGGAATTCCTCTTCGGAGCCCTAAATGGATCCCACTGGTCCGAGGAGCACCGTGAGTTCAAGGCAGAGTCACGGTTCCTTTTTGCCTGTGTAGTTTCAAGACAGAAATGTGACAGCCTGCGAGGAGCTCAAGATGTTCAACATCCATCCACAGGAGCCAGGGCCGCACCCCAGTCGCGCCGAGTAGGTGCCAGGCCTCTGATTGGGTTCGTTGAAGCCAGAAGCCCTTGGTCATCGCATGCCCAGCAGTTGAACTTGGCACAAGGTGTCCGCTGTTCTCCTGTGAAGCTGCGGCCGCACTTTCATGGCTCAAATCACACGAGACGCTTTAATTCTTTTTTGGGTTCCAGCCCAAGCACCCACTAGCCAACCCCAGTGCCGCAATCCCCCTCACTCACTGCTCCTGGGCCCACTTCTCACAACTCTACACACAGCATCTGACCCTTCACCCACCCTTAACCCCGAAGGGTGCCCAACCCAAAGATACCAGCCGCACACCACACAGCTCGCGTCCGAAAGGGCACACTAGAGTCACCAGAGTGTAGAGTATCCTGCTGCAGCTTGCTCGGGATTCTCTGGGGGCTTTGCTGAATCGGTAGAGCCGCATATTAGACGCCCCTTCCAGAGTCCATTCTGCACCGAGCCATGACGACATGTGCGGAGCCTTGACTTCGCCCTTTACTCCCTGCTCCCAATTACACCTTCGTTTGGTCTTCTTCGTGTAGCTAGTGTGAGGCAAGCAACTGCTGGGCAGTCATTCCGTCGCCCCAGCTGTCCCCAAAGCTTCAGCTTTTTTTCTCAATGTCAAAACCAAGTCTGGCGACCGAGGACCTGAATGCGCCTTACTCGCGAGCAGAACTGAAGCGGGTCTGCTACCTGAACTCCAAGTCTCTGGGTCGCGCGCATCTTCGACAAACTCCCGAGCTATGGCAAGCCTGGTCTTTGCTGTGCGAGTGCTGCGTGAGTTCTGCGAGACAGTGGAAGCCCAGGTCAAGGCGGTTCGCTTCACCATGTTCGATGCGGACACACTTACGGCGCAGGGCTCTCGGCAAACTAGCGACGCTGTGGAGGTGACCGAGCTCCGATTATCTGCCCTGTGGGAGGTACTCCGTGGCGGAGATCTCTAGCAACGAGATCTATAGAAATGGTCAGCCAGTTTCCGGGCACGGTTGCTGAGCTCTATTGAAGAGACTTTGCAGACTCTCAAGCCACCTTAGGTTCAAGGAGGCGTGAACGACCCACGGCTTGGTCCTATCGATGTACGCTGCTGGGCCTAATCCCTGCGGTGCCTCTCATGCTTGGAAGAGGTTTCCGGGAGGCACCCAAACTCCCTGAACTGTCAAAGTTCGTGAGAACATTTCGTTGGAGCACCAGGAACCAAGAATCCGTCTGAAAAACTCCGAGGAACGCCTTGCGAGACTTGTGGGGAAGGCCGCCTTCGCCAGAGCACAGAAGCTGCTTTCGATTGCGAGGGTCCTTGTTGCTGCTCTTCAATCACGGCGCCTTTCAGAGATGCCTTGAAGGCAAATACTTTATGCGACTTGATCGGGGTGAATGTCGCCGAGTATGAATGTTTCATCCCTAGCCCAGACCCGCAGTCCCCAACCCCAAGCCTGCAAGCCACGAAGCCGATCGATGATCGGAAGCTCCGTAAACTCCTATGGAGGCATTAAGTCGTGCCCTGGTCATTGGGGCCACCTTACCCTGGCCAGACCAATGCAAGGGCCCCGGGCGGATTGAAGCGCAGCAAGGTAACGGGCTTCACTCCTAAGCTTGGGTCATCGGTCTGGGCTGCAGTCTGAGAGTTCTGTAAGCACTCCGAGAAAGTCCCACGCAAGAGCAAGGTCTCACACTCGTAGCATGGCAAGATGTGCAGACACAGATAGGAAGAAGCAAGGCTGATGCCTCGGTTCAAGTTTGTTCGCTCCAGTGAGAGCTTTTCATCAGTCAGGTCCATTGTGCATGTGTCAGTGCAGACTTGACGAACCAGAGCAGCTACGAGCGCACCGCGGGTTGAAAGGTAGCGTTTCCAAACCCTCGCCTTGCAGCCGCAACATGCGCTTAAGACTCAAACACCAACACCTGAAGTGCTCAAATATGTTGAGTTGAATCGGCTGAGTCCTGTTGTGCGAGCCCGAGCGCCATGCCGGAGTACGAATGCCTTCCGCCACCGGATCCGAATGCGGATCCCGCCCGCTCCTCGCAGGCGCCTGCGCATGACACACCAACAAAAACGCAATGCAATGGTCGCTTTTTGCTAAGAGTTTGGGGGAGAGGCTCTGTGTGCTTCTTGTGCAGTCTGTCCTCTGCAGAAGGCGGCAGGTGATGGCGAGAGCGTGCGGACTCAGCCGCCGCCGCGACAGCAATGGCGTGAGCCTTGAAGTGCCGTGTTCGCGCGCTGTTCTCTGTTCTACGCGATAGGCGGCTTCGGACGAGATTTCGGCTCTGATTGATGAACTGGTGGCCGAGTCGTGTCGTTCGAAGACGTCCTTTTTGGTCGGTGAGGTTGAGCTCCTTGTGGCCCTTCTCTCGAGAGAGCCGGGCAAGTGAGACACAGGTCGGAGCACCTTAGAGCTTTTTACAGGGTTTTCGAGTTTAAAGCTTAGGGAGTTGTTTTTGGTGCAGCATCCTTGGGACTCGAGCGCATGTTGATTTTGGGCTTGGGGTTTTCAGAGATTTCTTTTCGTTGTACGCAGAGGAGAGAGAGAGTGAGAGAGATGCAATGGTGTTCCTACGGAAAGTTAAGTCCTGGTTGCGAGGAAGGCTCCTAGTGCACACACGAGGGGATGTTTCTGGTTACCGAGCTGTAAACCTCTGGATAGCTGCCATAGGGGCGCGGGGAAGAGGCGGGTTGGGGTTGTCTTAGTGTAAGGGGTCGGGGGTTGCAGCTCGAGAATCTGGAACATACTCGGTAGTAAGTGCAACGGTCAGTGGCGCCCCAAAGCCGTCCACTTAAACCCACAGGGGGTGGACGGGCGGGCTGAAAGCCTGAGGGTCACGACGTGACCCCTAAGCCCGGCAGAAAGAAAAGAAAAGGGGAAAGGGGTCTAACAAGCTTGGACCACGGAAGGAAGGAAGGAAGGAAGGAAGAGAGAAACAAGGGTTCCTATCCTCTTCCACATGCGAAAAAAAGAGGGAGCCGGAGGGACATGGACAGCCCCCTATGCCGAGAGCGAGAGAGAGAGCGAGAGAGATAGAGAGAGGGTGGGAGTTTCCGCGCGGACTATCCCCTGTTTCATGATTTGTGCTGGAAAGCCTGTCAGTGGAAGGTTTCTTTCTGCCTCCCTATACCCCCTGGCTATGAAGAAGTGTCAGTCCGAAGCCCCCTACACTGGCCCGCCGAGAGGCTCAGCGGGGCGCCATGCTCGGCCTCCGTCAGGGAGATCTCCGGTGGATGCCCGACGAGAAGTGCACGAAGTGCCCTCGCATGGAAACTGCTTGGTGGGGTCTTACACGTAGATCGGTGTTGCTTTGGGCTGCGAAGGCGGCAACAACTTGTCTACCGTCTTTGGACCTAGATGAATTTGAAAGCGATGCTGTCCTGCAGGTGAAACCCAAACTGCAAGAGGGCATTGCCTTCCTTGCCTTCCACCGAAATCCCGAGCTTCGATTGCTCAGTCTTGACCGGCTGCTGCCTCGTGTTTGGTAACACCGCAAGCTGTCCAATAGCCACCAACAACAAACATTTACAGAACCTGCACGACAAGCGCAACTACTGAGCGAGGATGTTGCAGCCACCTGCACAGAGTGGACAGCATACAGAAAAGAGGGCTGTTATCGAATCACAGAAACTCGTTCCATGCTGTGTGGAAGTGCCAAAGGACCACCCGCTCCATACACCTGCCGCCCTTGTTTCGAACTTCCAAGCTTGCATGAAGTCTTGTGGCATTCAGCTTCAGCAGAGGTGCTTCGCCTGTGGCGAGCCTTTCAGTGCATGGAGAAGACGCCACCACTGCAGGCGCTCGGGTTCCGATTGGAACATGGCCTCGTCAGATCAGAAACACGACAACCAGAGTCAAGCCTTGACACGATTTTTGGTCAACCTGCATGCTGAGGTAATACTTTCAGGCCGCTATCCCGCCCCTGGCAAGGTTATGCGGCCAAATCTTTTGTTACAGCTGCTCCAACAACTTCATTCCTGGCAAGCTCGTCGGACGTCCGACGGAGGTGCATCGGTGATGAACACAGACGGGGACGCATGGAGAGGTAGCCAAGGGTCCTGGCATCCGTCACAATGCTGCTGTCTGTTCGAGAACTGTAGGGGTCAATGCAACTTAGAGACCAGTCGTTCACCGGGTGCGCAGATCCCCGCAAGAACGGGGCATCGTGACACGTGTGCTTTGACCAGGGCAAGTCCCGACTTTGCGAGTCCTGCTTGGAGCCGCCCGGTGAGGAGTGAACCATCCATAGAGGGTTGCGAAGGATCTTCAGAGTTTGGGAGCTTGAGGAGGGTCTACAGTTTGGATTGAGGGCCCAGCACTACGAGAGTGCCGATGTGTCACAATCCACATGTCTCCAACCAAACACGTCAAGAATGCACATAGCAACTTCCGGCAGTGGGACAGACTGGGACAGGAGGGCTGGGAGGCAATGCGCAAGAGCCCCACAAAAAAGTCGATAGCGTAGCATTGCCGAAACTTCTGAGCCTCCTGGACACCTCGGCCGTTTGGCGCCTCCACCTGCGCAGCTTGAGGTTCTGCGACGAAAGCTTGATCATCCAGCGAAGTAGCGCTGCTTCGGCTGGCCTCGCTGCCGGGCCGCAAGTGCTCTTGCTCTTACTGTGGCTGCTGCCGCTGCTGCTGCTGTCGCTGCTGCGGAAGCTCGTTCTGCTGATGATGGTGATGATGATGGTAGTGCTGATGAGAGCACAACTGTGGAGGTTCTTGTTGGCCTCACATGCGAAGTCTGAGGTTCGCGTTGGGATAGCTGTTGCGGTGTAAACCGTGGCAGTGTAAGCCGATGTCACCATCTCACAATTCAGGAGGCCCAAAGCCCCAATGTAGCGGTTGCCTTGAAGAGAGATCCTCAAGCCTAAAACCCGGAGTTGCCAATCGCGCAATTGATGACATGTCGTGATCACCCTGAGGTTGCAGGCATGCAGCTGTTCCGGCGTGAGAACCGTGCATCCACAGAGGATGAGGAGACATCACGTCTCGTCCTAGCTCACTCTAACCTCGAAGGCTTTGTAGAGCCAAGTCTTGTCTGAGAAGCCGACTCTCTCGATGTCTTGGTTTGCGAGGACACGGTCGAGCAGGAGGACCCCGCATGTCGCATGCTGGCCTTGGCCTTCATGTCGGTATCGCGAACACATGTTCTGTGGGAACTACTGTAGTGCCCGAGCTGTGGATCTACGTAGATCTACTTCTTCACTGGCAAGGCAGTCGCGGCAAGCAGCCAACACGCAAGAGATTTTCTACGGACATCGTGCAAGAACCATTATCTCAGATGCCGACACACGTCTCGAAGCAGAGGACGCGGACGATCAGCCCTCTGTGTCAGAAGAGGACATGCCGCAAATGTCCGAGAACCTTGAAAGCGCCTTCGATGCCTTTTGAGGGATTTCTGCTCCCGGTCGCAGCTCATCAGGGCTCCATGCTTGTCCGAAGCTTGTTGTGCCTCTTAGCCTAACGAGCGCAAAGGTGCGGAATTATCTTCAAGCCTGTTCCGAGGCCTTAGCTACAACGTCTACAATCCGGACGCTGACGCTTGGAGTGAGCTGCAGATCCAGTAAGGCAGGCGGAGCCTTTTTTTTGATCCGAACCTATCTTGAAGCTGTGCGTCCCCGAAACCTCTTCTGGATCGCAAGCCAGGCCATATCCTCCCAAATCCTAAACCCACCCAAGCTTTGCACCGGGTCGCGCCTGAGGAGGTCACAGCACGGGGCGTGTGGTACTGGGGGGACGAGCCCAACTCCCGCGGGCAGAGGCCGCCTGCCAATCACCGGGCAGAGGCGCAGGGCTCGGGCTCTGCGAGGGATAATGCCGAAGCCCTGCGCTCTGCAGGTTGGCTTACCGGAAGAGTCCATCGAGCATCTGAACCAGTCCTGGGAAGGAGCGGCAGTGACACCTCCTTTTTCCCTTGAGGCTCAGTAGAAGTTCAGACAGGCCGAAGTGCCTCACCGAAGGACTCGATCCTGAGGATCTCGAAGGCCTTGCTGCTGGCCAGCGCGACGCCCAAGTCACAGAGTGGCGAAACATGGCCGAGGCGTGTCTTGCGATTCTGCAGAGGATCTCAGAGGTTAAGGGAGGCAGCATGTAGCGGGGTTGATTCGATTCTTGACTGCTGAGGCTCTCCAATGACTCTCCAATCGAGGAGGCCCTTAATGCCGTAGGTTTTCAGCAGCGCAGGCCAACTTCCGCCACTTCGTGACGTCCGTTCGCGAGTACTGTCTGGAGGCCAGGCTGCTCGTGAATGGCCACCCTCGCATTGCGCTTGGCACTTGCCAGGCAGGGGAGGGCCTCGAGGATCAGGAGCACATGCTCACGATTTGCAAGCTGGCACAGCAGGCCGTGGGCTGAATAGATTGCAGTCGAGTGCGTGCTGCTGCCTGTTTGTCGAACTGCCGCCCCCTCTCCTGTTTCCTTTTTTGGGACGGCTCCGGAGACACCTCTACTGTTCGGGCGGGTGTCGGTCCCGCTCCGCTCTGTTTTCCGATATTTTGCTTGACGAGAACCCGCATGCCCAAATCCTCATTGCATCTTATTGCCCAAACAGCTCAGGGGGAAGGTCGGACAAATTCACTTGCGAGGTGGTGAAGCAGCTTCGACTGGGTCCTGCGGACAGCATGGACATCCTGAATTACTTGAGCCCCGGCCGAGCCAAGCTGTCTACAGTCGGCATGTGCTCAGGGGCCATTGGGACCTTTGGTATGCCGGGGCTAGGAGAGTGGTGGTTGTGATGGTTTGTTTCAACCGTCAAAGCTTAAAACGGTTGGGAAACGCACGCGTGGAATCAAGGGGACTAGGACGCAACTTGTAAAGCATGGGACAAAGATGTGCGCCGTTGTGGTTCGTGCGAACGAGCCCTTGAAGCCGGACTACAGATTGCACGGACGGCGCTACGTATCCATGTGCGTTGCACAGGTGCGATGTGGTCCAGCACACCTTCAGAACACTGACGGTCAGACGGTGTCGCCCGAACATGTACACGTTTTGTTGGGAGGCATCGATCCTATTGGTCCATGATGCAGAGAAAGCACAAGCTTGGAATCCAGCCTCAGCCTCGAGCTTTGGCATATCCTTTTTCGGGAGACGCATTCCGCGCTGTTCGAAAAAGGGCAACCTAAAGCACAGACCTGTCCAGACTCCATGTCCCACAGTGAGGATCTGTGGCTGTGCCTATGACACAGGTTGCCAGGGGCAAACGGCAGCGAACTTACTCAGCGTTTTGCTGTTGGCAACGAGGCCTCGACACATTGCAGGTTTCCACCCGACACGAGCAGACGAGCACGAAAGGAACCACTAACTTTCAAGAGGACGCTCGAGAGAGGACCGACTCCGAGCGGGATGCTCGGCAGGCAGTTGTTCGAGCGAGGAAGCCATGCGGAGCAGACGGGACCTCTACAAGGCCAACAGCTGGGCCGGAATCGTGAAGAAGAACACCCACAAGTAAAGTTCTAGTGACCAGCCCTTAAGAGACGGCCGGGCTCGCCAAGCGGACAGTCAGAGCGACCGTCGTGACGATCCCGGGCAGTCTGGCATGGAAGTACGACTGGCCTTGTGCCCTTGTGGAACGCTTTCATTTCTTTGTTTCGGCCGGGCGTGCACAGAGCAAAGAGCAAAAGGAACGACAATTTGCTGTCAGACTAACCCTGTCGTTGCATTTTCTTACTGCTTGCGATCGAGGAAAATCAAGAAGATTCCAGGCGGACATATCCGAGACTCGAGGCCTACTTCGCTTGCGACTGGGCGTGTTCTTTCCGTCTTTCATTCCAGCAGGTTGATGGTGGCATTGTCACTGACCTAGCTTGGTTTGTAGCCGATCTGCCAAGCATACGGCTTACGCAGTGACTGCGGGGAGGTCACCAGGACTTGCCCTGCCAGTCCCACGCTGTCTTCTGACCCCATGGTTGCAACCCGGCCCCAGTGTTTGCAACCTTTTGGAGGTGCCACGATGGTGTGGTTTTCTCCGGGGACGTCGTGCACCAGAAGATGAGTACAGATATTGTGACTTGCAGAAGCCAACGGTAAGATCAAAACCCACAACACGAGGAGACATCATCTCGAATCAGAAACCCGAGGGATCCCAAGCACCAGTGTTAGCTTGCTTTTTGGGGTTTGGCTCCCGGCACGAGCAAATGGCTACAGCAGGCACAAGAGGTACAGGTGTCTGGTTCGCACAGGTGCATGATTCAGGAATACTGCCATGTTGAAGAGGTCATTGCCTTCCAACATCAGGCAGACTGCCCGCTGACCCTCATACAGCTGCCCTTGACCTTTGACTACTTCAACATGAGCCTTGCCTTTTCAAGGATTTCAGAAAATCCACAAACGTTCCGAAGCCCGGATTCTCGGCGATCCTCAAGACTTCAAGCAAAGTCACAGCCAGAGGCGCTGGGACGCGAGCAGCGTTGCCTCAGTCGCTGAACTTCTGGTACAGAAGCACTTTCAACCCAACCTGCTTCCCCATCCCTACAAGCGAAGCAGCCGCCCCGACTTTCCAAGGAAGACGGACCTCGATGCCCTCCGTGAGCAGGAGCGGATTTACCTGGACCTGAAGGCTGAAACCATGCGAAGATCGGTCTCGATCATGCCGAGTTTTTCCCTCCCATCTGTAAGATTCGATCGCAAGTTCCCCTTCGTGCCTGCTTCCCCTCGAGCATGGAAACATGCTCCTCCACAAGCATGCTGATCTGAAATGGAGCCTACTCCGCAGGCCCGTAGGGCTGCAGATCACTGCTTCGGCCCCAGCAGGTGGAGAAGATTGTGAAAGATGTGCAGCCGGAGAGCCCGAAGCTCCTGCTTTGTCAAGCAGCTTGGTGCTTCCTGGTGCTTCCTTCGTGACACGTGTCGTGATGCGCTTGGGACAGCTCGGGGTACGGACTCTCCGAGGCCGTGGTGTCCCAGCTCGCGCAGGAGAAGCTGCGTTTGCAAGGCCCGGGACATCCACGAAGAGGGTGCCGGAATTTTCAACCAGATTGCTGCAGGCATTGCTGTGATCATCGGCGTGCCCGAAAAAATTCTGTGACTTGTCTCGGATGGAAATGTTTTGGACTTGAGTTCTTGTAGCCCTGAAGGTCCGAAAGGCCACAACTAGTGCTGACCCAACCATCAGTAAGTTCCGAAGGTTTCGGTGTCGGGGCATGTTGAGTACCGCCTCTCGCAATCAGTTGTTGAGGGAGCAAAGCGAATGACATAAGCACAAAACATAACAATCCAAGCGAAGTGAAGCAACCCGCGTGTTTGTCTGCTGGTGTGTGTGTGTGTGTCGTTTTTGTTTATTCACTCGCTCACGCTTCATTTTCTTGTGCGATTGGCAGAAATCAGCGCGTTTCTGTTCTAAGACTTGTTTCGTTTCTTGCTCTTTGTTCTGTTTCTTTGCCTTTTTGCTTTAAGTCGATCAGTGCGCAATTAAGTTCACGCAAAAGGGTGAAGGACCAAGACGAGAGAGAGAGAGAGAGGTCTCCTAATTATCGGTCTGGTGGGTAGGAATTAGGAGATCAGTTTCGCGATCGTTGGAACAGACTTGATCTATTTTCTCCGTGGCCATTTTGGCTCAAGCCGATCGGGCCATACCGAAAAATTCGGCGTGGGAGGTGGAAGTGAATAGGCTCGCTCGATCGCAGCCATGTCGTTCCCTCCCGCTGGCTTCCATCAAGGTCGGCAGATGGCGGCTCCGATGGCCCCACAGTTCGGGTTGCCTCGCCGGCTTGGTCAGCCTGAGAATCCGGGCAACTGGGGACACTACGTTCCAGGCGAGGCAGAGGCTCCCGAGAATCCCGCGGCTCCAGCTGCCGCATCCGGCGATTGGGGCTCTGGAGGCTGGGGTCGCGACGATCGTCGTGGACGTCGTGACCGCGGGGCTCCTGCTGCCCACAACCCCTTCGCTGTTCAGCGGCCTGAGTTCGTTCGCCAGGTCGTGGTCGAGGAAGAGGACGAGACCCAGAACTCGCTCCTCGTCATCGACAACCGCGACGACCGGGTGATCTCCCCGTTCCAGAACTGGCTGGCCGAGGAGATCATCTCGAATGCCGCCAGCTCGATCAATGTGCTGACGGAGCGGGACTCGGTCATGCCCCCGAACTCGGGCTACCACTGTTCGCTGTTCGCGAACTATACGCTCGATGGCATCAAGGCCGTTCTGCTCTTTTCGATGTCTTCGAAAACAGGGGGACCATGTGCTCAGTGGGACTCCTACGCGAGTCGGGCGCTATCGCACCCGGCTTTCCAGCCCTTCACTTGGCCGGTGATGTTCGACACCTCGGCCACCTATGTGGATGTGAAGGTCTTCAATGGAAACGAGGTCCTATTCCATTGGGTCTTCAGGGGCTACCGCTCGGACTCGGATCTTTCTGTCCAGCAGCAGTTCTGCGACGAGGTGTTGATCCGGTCAGCCAACGAAGGATGGTTCCGACCCTCGATCGTAATCTCGGTCTTCGTTGGATGGAAGGTCTCCGTGACCTCGTTCGAGGTTGGAGCCCGAGTCTACACGATCGGCCCGAGAGGATGATGGCGAGCGACCATGCCATGAGCACCTGTGAGCTCAGGGTGACAGAACGCTCGTCCCGAGAAGGCTATGGGAACGACGCCGATCGTGTTGAGTTTCGGTTCCGGGACGCCAACAACCGGATCGATCTCAAGTGCGGGAGGACTTCGGTGTCTGGCACGTGGCTCACAGTCAGCCACATCTCGGGCCCCGCTCTGATCAGCACGATCCAGGCCTGTCGGACCCGTGGAAGGTCCAGACCACATCCAGCAGTTCGCGCAGCTGTCTGCGGTGATCGCCCCCTGGTACCACAGTGCGTTCGCCCACGAACAGGTGCAAGTGGGAACTGCGACAGACGAGTTCCCGATGGATCATGGGAACTTCCACGTACGGGCTAGATCTAAGCTCAGGGTCTGCCCACTGGAGTTCGTCCGGCAGGAGGCGCTCGCCCACCGGTCGCACGATGAGAACAACGCCGTTCGAGCTCGGAACGGCCCCCCGGCTCTCATGGAAGAGGCGGCTCGGCAGGCGGTTCAGCAGCTGGGCTCCTCGGTCACTTCGGCGCTCACCAACATGCCCACCTCGGCTCAGCAGGTGTTCGACCAGAGGGTGAGCACTGTTCCGGTGCCGGAGGAGGGCCAGCTCGGCCAGGAGCAGATCGCCGAGGAGGTCGTCACCGATGCCCGCGATCGCATGAGGGCCGACATGCGATTCTCGCGCACGTCGGCTGCGATCACGCCTCAGGTTTTCACCGACGTGCTCCAGCACCGTGAGCAGGCGGAGTACGAGCGGATCAGCACGGTCAGGGTGGAGGAGACGGGCCAAGAGATCACGGCTTCCCCCTCCTCTACGACCACGGTGCCGAAGGCGTTCGCCCCGGCCTACCCGCCAGCCAGATCGTCAACGGGGCCCTACACGATGGACAATACAGACTAGTTGTCGATCGAAGCCTAGGTGATGGTCGGTTTTTGTGCACGCTCCTAAGAGAGTGGTGCGCCGCGCGACCGAAGCCTCCTGGCGGATCAGCCGGGCTCTTCCGCGGAACAAACATGCCGAGCGATCCTCTCGGCGCGCTAGATCCCAGCGCATGTTCTGCCGGAAGTGAGATTGATCAATACCTGTCTCAGGCACGGCGCTCGGTTACCATTAGCAGGCACGTGCGATCGTTCGTGCAGCTGTTCAGGCCCAGCATGGATAGGTCCGTTCGGAAGATCCTATCCCTCCCCCTGTTCGGGGATGAATTTTGCCAATGGTTGGTGGATCTTCGGATGGCTCAGTTCGAGAAGCTCACGGCTGTTTCGGACGGGACGATCGCTGAGTGTGTGCAAGCATTCATTGATCTTGTCCCTGCCCTCGAGGAACTCCACACGCCAGATCGGCGGAAGAACGAGGAGGAGCTCGGCAGGTGGGTTCCGTCGATCGAGCTGTTGTTTGTGCTGGTTCGTAGCACGGCAGCAGCGGGCTGGGCTGATCTGGCCACTGATCTGGGATTCGGCTTGGCTGAAGCTCCGGTCGTCTTCGGGCGATCGCCACTGAAGTCGAAGGGGACTGGCAAGGAGCCTCCTATGCCATTGCCGCTCGCCAAGAGGCCGCGGGCGATCGAGCCGAGGCCTGAAGATCCGCAGGCATCGCTCAAAACCCGTGAGCTCGGCGAGGCCCGAAAGTGGGGCATGAGGCTGAAAGCGATCGTGGAGAGGTGCGGCGAGCACGCCGCGATCGCGGGCAACCCGAAGCCGGGATCACCCCTGTCCCAAGATGAGATGAATGCATTGAGGTTGATCGTCTTCGAGAGTGGCGGTTTCCGCACTATCCAGCAGTGCGTTCGTCACTGGGAGAGGATTGAGACTTGGGCGAGGTCGCAGAACCTAGCGGTGATCCCGCTGACTACCGACGTGCTCGTCAAGTACCTCTTAGATCTCTCCGACCGAGGTTGCGGCCCCACCGTGATACCTTCGGTACGTGGGGCGGTCAAATGGATCTGCAAGCGGATCGGCTTGTCGTTGCCCGACCTCCTCGATCCCCGGATCATGGCCTTGCAGAAGAAGGTCTATGGCGATCGCGGGAAAGAGACGAGGGAAGCGGTTCCCATCCCTCTGATCTTGGTGGCGGCGCTCGAGCGGTTCGTGTGCGCTCGTTTTAAGTCGAGCCAATTCCCCATGGCGTTCTTCGCATGGTGGGTTCTCGTGATGATCTACTCGTCCCTCAGGTTCGACGACGCGCTCCACGTCGTGCCCGAGGCGCTCGCCCTGAAGGACGAGGCTCTCTATGGGGTGGTTTGGCAGACTAAGGTCGAGCGACAAAAGAAGGGAACGCGGTTCGCGGCGGCCAGAGTCTCCGTCTCCGGATCCGACTGGATGGAAGACGGATGGCACGCAGCTGCGTTCGAAATGGACGATCGCGACTACTTCATGAAAGAGCTCGAATCGGCTGAGCGATTCGCCGATCGGCCTGCCAGCTACCAACGGAGCATCCTGTGGCTGCGGTACGTGCTCACTACTGCAGCTTCGGACGATCTGAAGCGCGGGCACATCTCGCCCGAGCGGCTCAAGGAGCTCCTGAAGATCGTGCCGGAGATCACCTGGCACTCCTGCCGGGTCACGCTGCTCTCGGCGGCGGTCCAGGCGCAGGAGCCCGATAAAGAGATCGGGCTCCAAGCGAACTGGAAGGATCCAAGCCAGCTGGTCCTGAAGTACGCTCGGAGCCGCAAAGAGATCTCGATCGAGATGGTCAAGCGGCTCACGAACAGGATAGCATCCGACTGGAAATCTCCACCGGAGTTCGAGGCCGACGATACCAATCTGGTCGACTTCGGTGATCTCGCTCTGACCTATGTCACCAAGGCTAGATCGGCCGCGGGGTCCTCAAGGGATCTGAGTCTTAAATATCATGCCATGTATATAGATGGTACGGGCACGGAGCGAACGCTCTGCGGCCGGTACGCGATCACCGAGTGCGAGGATCTCGGCGAGATTCCGCCGAGTACTCAGATGTGCTCGTTGTGTTCCGGTAAGATCTTTACGGAGCCGTGAACACAGCTGTTCGCAGTCACGATGGCCACTCGAGCTGAGCCTCTCCCTGACCGTAGCTTTTCTTTTCAGACAGCTCGTTAGGCAGCCATGGTCGATCGCACCGCATACGCGAATGAGGCGGCGACCCCGAAGCTGAACCTGCGCCAGATCTTCGGGAGACAGGGGCTAGATCCAGCCCTCTGCAGGCTCTCGGCCGACAAAGGTCTCCTCACAGTCGAGATGTTCGCAATGCTGGGGCAGGATCTCACCTCGGCGAAGGCGACAATCCGTCGGCTGTGGCAAGATGACTTGACCCCGCTCGGGGCTGATGCGGCAGCACAGGAGCTCTCCGTGATGTCCTTGGCGGCGGTGTGGCAAGCTGCTCAAGCGCTGCAAACGCAATACGCCTCTCGGCGAGCTCGTATGGAGGAAGACCCGAACAAGATCCCGGAGCTCTCCCAGGAGGACCACGCGGAGTTTCGCGATCGCTTCGTGAGGGTTCACCCCGACGTCATCCTGATCGACGCCAAAGAG